CTATACTCCCTAAAGAAAAAAGGGAGCGACTCAATCGAAGATGTTCGAGTTCTATACTCCTTAAAGAAAGAAGGAGCGAACTCGTTTGCTGAAGATTTTTTCAAGTCACTTACCCTGGAGGAGTGGAACAGATCCCTTATCAAGTTTCAAAGCGAAGAGAAATTGAACAAAAACACGTTGTCTTTTTTCTTTGCCTATTCTTGTTAACACAAGAATGAGCAAAGAGGGGCAGCTGTAAACACCTGTTTTTGTCTGGGGTTCTCGTTCGAGCTTTACTCCAGTTTATATATTATTAATTAGTTATTATTACCATGTGTTGCATGTGTTTATCTATTTAGGTTATTTTTAATTTATTATCATGTGTGTTTAATTATGTAGGGTGTTAATATATCTATTATGTTTAATGCACTAAATAAATGTTATTACAGGCCCAAGTTGAAAACAAGTTACAACAGGCTGGATTAAACAGCCAAACAACAGAACCCTAAACCCGTTAGGGTTTTCCTATCCCAGCTTCCAGCGCCGCAACATGAAGGCCGTTGGATCTGTCATCAGGATTCACGGCTCGACGTCCCAAGCATCCCCAGCCATCGTGCGCAGATGCTCCCAGAACTCCAAGACAGTGCGCGAACCAGCCAGCTGCAGTCTCACGTGAAGCCAACCCCTGGCCATGCCCAGCGCCGCCTTCCACGTCCAGATCGAGCCCTGTCGCCGTTCGTCTCCACCAGTCAGCACCACCATGCAGCACGAACCAACCGGTGCTACCCACGTGAAGTCCTCGGGACTGTTCCCCATCGCCCGTGCCCAGGCTGTTGAAGCCCCGTGACTTGCTCGCTCCAGGGTCCTGCACACAAAAACAACAGAACACGAGGAAGCAAAAAACGAGGAGATCGACTAGAAAAACAGAAAAAAAAAAACAAAAACGGGGGAGAGGGGAGATCAACTAGAAATAACAAGAGGAGGGAAAGGACAGAAAAAACGAACAGGGGGAGGAGTGATCCTAAAATCGAAGATCAGCCATCAACAGAAGAAAAAAGAGAAAAATACCCAGAAGATCGAGTTATCAGCGAACACAACCAGAGATAACAACGAATCCAAAAAACGTTGGTAAACCGAAAACTTACTTACCTGATCTAAAGGCTCTCGTCGTCCCAGCTAGGAATCCCTACCCCGCTTGTGAGAAGGTAAATCCTTCATCTTTCGTGGTTTTCCAGTCGTGTACGTCCGTTTTAGACTCAGATTTCAGGGATTTAGGGGGTTTCGGTCTAAGACTAGTGAATGTTTGGTTAGATAGAGAGGTGGTGGCCCTTCATCGGAGTCAGAACCGCGGTGGTTCCATGGTGTTTGGGTAAGTGAAATAAAATGGGTTTAAGGATAGTAAGGGTTTAGATTTGAGTTTTGGAGATGATTCTTTTGGGTGGGTTTTGACCAGAGTCGATTTCTGGCCTTTTAGGCTCCTCATCGGAGCCATTTGGCGGCGGAGGCCACGGCGATTGGGGGATTCAGTGAGGGTTGAAGAAGAAGAGGGAAGAGGTTGAGAGAAAACGGCTGAGGTGAGAATGAGGGGCTCAGAGGAAATGATTTAGGGTTAGAAATGTTACCCTAAAATCCCATATATCAGAACGCCCGAACGGCGTCGTTTAGTCAACTCCAAAACGACAGCGTATTGATGTCTGAGGGAGATGCGCCGTGTTTTGGAAGTTGGGTTAATCGCCTGATAGGCCATCGTGGTTTTGTTTTGTATTATTTTGGTCCCTGAACCGAGCTTTATTGATATTTTGATTTCGCCTCGTAATTCCAGCGTTTTACATTTCAGTCCAGAATCATGCAAGGGTTGTTTTCGTGATTGTTATACATTGGATATGTAATTTGAGAAGCTTTCAATTTGATCCTATGCAATATTTGGTATTAGTTTGCAGTACCCAGAAATGAAAATGTGATGAAAAAGGTTGTTGTTATTTATTTTTTATGTTTTAGTCCTTTTAATATTTTATGCATGATTGTTAGGTTAATTTAGATTTAGTTTAAAATATATGCATGTATATATTATTTCAAGCATGTTGTTCATACGCACGTAGGTGTAATTTATTTTTATGAGCATGTCTGAATTCGTTCACTTTAATCGCATATTTAATTATTTTTTGCATTAACATCACTTTGTATAATTTTTGCATGATATCCTCATATGCATAACTTGACATTATTGCATAATCGGAATTAAGGGTAATGCCCTTTTAATCTAAAATTATCAGAATGGCTTTCCTTAACTTACAGGAAAGTTGTTTGACGATTTTAAATTAAAATGGTGTCCCGTCAGTAACGCCTAATTAAATTTGGATATGTCATTGTAAAATTTGGGAGCGAAAGAAAAGGAAATATTCGACTATTTAAACTTTTCGAGGAAAGGTCGTTAGAACTGAACTAAAGATCTGGTCTCGATATTTTTAAATAATCGAATATTCTTTATCTTTCTAATGACTTGGTAATTTTAAATTAAATCTATTTTGTTGCTTTGAATGTTGCAAATTTGCATGTTTGTCGTTTAAAGGAATCAAAAATTAAATTAAAGTTGAACTTGTAAAGTTCGTTGCAAAGACATTAATTAATCGACTAGGTACCGATTTAGGGCGTTGTGGGGGTGCTAATCCTTCCCCACACGTAACCGACTCCCGAACTTGGATTTTGGTAACGTAGACCGTAAATTTGTCGTTTTAATTAAAATTAATTTTTATTTAAAATGACAACGTTTTTGGGTGCCCAATCACACCCTAATCAAAGATTGGTGGCAACTCCTCGAACCTACATTTGCGTTTATTTAAAAGGAATCCCAAATTTTTTCGAAACGAGAGGTTTTCTAAAATTGCATTGTTTTTAATTGAAATTAAATCGTAAAGAGAACAATTAAAAATGACGCGGTTTCCAAATCCCCCCACCGTTTAAAAATCGTTTCGACAACAACGATTATTGGTTCAAGTGGTCAGTACGAAACCTTCGTCTACATACACTAGAAACTAAAAAAAGTATGCATGTTGGTATAGTTGGTAAATATATAAAGAGAGATAAGTATGCATAGTTAAGGATCAATCTCTTGTTACATAATTGATATACCATCACTCTCCAGCTTAGTAAGACTATCATTTCAGTAGGAGCAGTTGTGCTCCGTTAATCATATATATCCTTAAGCATCCAAATAAATAATACTATTGGGAACAAGTGTTGGTAATGCTCAATCCCACATAATTTTGGAAACACTATTGGGAATGGTATTTAAGGCTTGGATTTTGCACTTCCTTGTTGAGTGAAAGAGAACAAGGGGGACTCTCGCGCGCCGCCGCCGCCGCCGCCATCTCGTCTCTGGTCATGGTCGTAGTCGTGGTAATACGTGTCTTCGAAACGTCCGCGCGGATACTATATTTTTAGAGAAAATTCTTAAGAAACAAATGCAATACTATTTTTGGACTATCGCAACGAATTTGGAAAATCGCAACGCGAAATGGAAATTCGCAACGCGAACTTGGACTATCGCAATACGAATATGTAAATCGCAATGCGATAGTCGAAGTTCGCGTTGCGAATCTGGAAACTGATTTGCGATACCTGAGATCGCGTTGCGAATTAGCGATCGCATTGCGATTTTGTTGGTCATTTTGGCAAATCCAAAAAAAGTTGGTTAAAATCGTATATTATATGGGATTTTTGGTCACTGAGATTATTTTCTCCATGTAAAATGTTTGGTAGTTCTGAAACATGCATGACAATAGCACTAGTTAATGGGATCTCATATATAGGCTTAATTTTTCTGTATGTTTGGTTTAAATGGAAAAGAGTTAAAATAAAGGGTAAAGTACACAAATGGTCCTCGACTGTTGGGTATTGTTTTATTGAGTCTCTCACCTATTAAAAGTTACGAAATGGTCCATTGACATTGCTTTGTTGACCTCGACTATTAAAAGTAACAAAATTATCACTTGACTATTCATATGTTCCAAACTCATCCTTTTTTTTGTTAAAAATTGAAGACAATCTAAGCTGGAAGTAAACCTGTTGATTGTGATATGATAAAATCTAATCTCAAATCTCAAACGACTATCATATCTCAGTCAACAGATTAACGTCCAGCTTATATGTCATCAAATTCTTAACGAAAAAGGACGAATTTGGAACATATGAATAGTTGTGTGATCATTTTGTAACTTTTAATAGTTGAGGGACTCAACAAAGTAATTTCCTTAATAAAAGTATTATTTTATAACTTTTAATAGTCGATTGATTCAACAAAGTAGCACCTTATAGTCGGGAGAGCATTTGTGTACTTTACTCTAAAGAAATAGTTTAAACCTATTTAACATATTTTAATAAATATAATTTATGATAAAATACACCCAAGTTACAAAACTATCTTCAAATGATAGTTTTGACCACTAATTTTCAAAAAAAAAATTGATTATTAAATTGTTTGAATAGTTACAAATGATCATTAAAAATTTTAAAAGAAAACAAAATGATCATTAAATTTAATCAAACTTTTATCATTGTTATAACATCACAATCATCATTTTAAAACAATATGATAAATTTAATAACTGTTTTACATCTTTTGAAATTTCAATGACCAAAACCAATCGTTTCAATACAATTTAATGACGTTCTATATACTTTACTTATAATATATGTAAATATTCTGTTAGACCATTGATTGAAATTACTGTATTAGAATTTCCCATATTATATTTTGTCACAAAAATAAATAAATGAATAAATCTTGCACAACTTTTATTGTAAAAATACACAATCATTAATGTAAACTAGAATCTAATATCAATAAATATTTTAAATAGGAAAATAAGTTTTTGGGTCAAATCCAATATTCAATTCATATGTACTTTTATTGGTGTCACAATATATTTCTTCATTGAAATTTAGAAGTATAATTTCAATAAGAAAACAATAAATTTAGACGTATAATCAAATATTACAATGCATAGTCGGACTAAAATCCAGCAAATAAGTTTATATATATGTGCATGTATGCATGTATGTTAGATACATTGATGAACAGGCAGATGTTCTCAAAGAGTAATTAAGCCATGTAGGAAGCGTCTATTCCACCGTTTTCCTGCCATACAGATCCAGCTCGAAATTTACAAATGGGACACGTACCTTGTTGTCGCAACCACGGGTCGATACAGTTAGCATGAAACTGTAGTTATCCATTATAAACGTGTGTAAGGGGGGGAGGCAATACAAGATGAAAACTAAAAATCACCGAAAGGGGGGAAAAGAACCTGATGCAAACAGGGTAAACTGCGGATAAGATCGCCCACGTTTACTTGCTCCAAGCAAACACTGCAGGTCAATTCATCTTCGGAACCCTTCTTGATGCTAATTAGATTGACAGAATCCTGCCTCTTCTACCAAAAACAAAAAATTACCGAACCATGCCGTTTAAAATCTCCATTCAAAATAAAGCATAGCCGGGGTGAATCCTCGATTAAAATCAAGTTGAGATAGAGAAGAGGAGCAAAAATACCTGAGGTGAGTTGGAAGACGACGCTTGTTGAATCGAAGAGTCGTTTCTGTCAGCAAAACCAACTTCTCGTCAGACTATTAGTTCATACACCAAAACAATGTTGCTTAAGGAAAATGGATACTTACCTTTGAGGGGCAGAGGCCTTGTACTTGAAAACAGGCAGGGCGTTTATCTCTTCTTCACTCATTGAAGCAGCGCTGGGGAAATTGTCAGAATCAAGGGCTCTAAGGGTTTCATAATCTAGTTGACAAAAATAACTTCTTCTGAGCTTCACGAAGCACAAAACCAGAATGGAGGAACAAACAAAAACTGTGCTAGATAAGGTTTGCAAATTTACAATCCCTGCCACTTATAAATAAAAAACGGAACTCAAGAAATTCATTATGAAACCAAAATTTGAACGCCATACCAAGATCATCGAATTCTCGCTCAAGAAGAGCAAGCTGCAATCTAAAACCTTGTAGACGCCCTCCGGTTGTAATTGCAATTGACGGCGGCATATGCAACCGTAGTTCAGTATGGCCCAAAAGTGCTCTCGCTGCTGTGGCATGGGCTTGTGCCCGAGCTTGAAGTTGTTGACAGGTAGCATACATTCTTAATGTCGTTACCATAAAAAACACACCAACAACCAGCCAAAGCTGCATGAATAGGTTAACATAAAAGCCCCTTAAATTAGTTCCAAAGAAGTAAATACCATAAGAAATTTAACTACTTGGTGAAGCAAATTACCAGAAAATTAGGTGACATCTGTTGCGAATTCAAAATCATGAATAGCAGAAGGACTGTAGCAACAAGGAAAATATTCAAAAAGAAGAAGACAGGGAGAAATAATTAAGATAAACACAATGATAAACAAGTACCTGTAACAAGAAACGCAAGAGAGTTGGAATTGACCGGACTTCCTGCATTGATACGCTAAGAACCGATTGACTTAAATCAAAACATTTATTGGAGAAAATGAATTAAAAACAATAGAGAATGAACAAAACATAACTGAAAATAAAATAACCTGGCCTTTTAACCTCGAGCCTGAATAATCAGTAATACTAACTTGATCAAATGTTTTTCCCCCCCATCAATTCGAACAATCAAAGCTAAAATGGAATGTTATATTATCATGACCAGAACAATGGAAATGTAAGTGTGTGAGGGAATGACAACATACCACAGTCCGCCTCTCTGGAATAATCGCCGGAAATCCACTCTCTATATCTGATCTAGTTCCTCGGAAGACGAAACTCATCGTTTTAGTAAACCAAATTCACCAGCTCAACTAAATAAATTAAGAATTAAAAAAAGATCTCAAATGTTTTAGTCTCAGAAAAATAGGAGTCAATTTTACTACACTGAGTCCACAAAAGAAATCTGCACAAAAATTATAATAACCTTTAATCAGAAAAAACCAATGAAATCATATTCAATTCTCATTTCCTATACTCGCCAATCTATATTCAATATATACTTCAAAATTCCAACTAAACCGAAATGATTCTATTTGCAATCAAATTGAATAGATTTTACACTTGTTAATCGAACAACAAATTGGAAAAAATCATTCGACTCCGAAATTTCCAGCCAAAATTACCAAAACAATCCTAATTTCTCATTACCTACATAATTAAGCGGCTCCAATTAACAGATCCGTAATCAAAATATTAAAAACTTTGAACAATCGTAAAAAAATGGATAAGAATGACGAAATAACGAAATGAAAGAGAACAAAAGGTGACTTACGGAGATCAGTGGATCGGCATTCGTCTTCGAGAAATGTAATGCCGGAGATATTAGATACAAGATTAAAGGACTGAGTCTGCGAAGGAGCGAGTTGACTCGGACACGTTAGGATCTTTTTTTATCTTTTTTTTTTGCCTGTCGTCTTTCCGGAGTTCCTCGTCAGCTTTGCTAACAATTTTTCTTCTTCTCTGGTCTGGACCTTAACAAAGACTCCAAAACAGAGTTAACTAAATTCCTCTAACGACACCGTTTTTACTTATTTTTTGTTTTTGCTTACTTTTTTGAATAATTGCATACTTCGGGACTGTTTGTTTATTTCAGAATGATTAAGCGTTGAATAATTTAAATGCTGAATGATTCAGAGGCTCTGTATGAATTAGTTCTGAATGTGACATGCTGTTTGATAATGGTTCTGAATCATTCAGAATGTACTTCTGTGTTGATCAGTCAACACTGAATCATTCAGAGGTGCGAAATAAACGCATTGAATGATGAACGGTTCAACATTCAGTGTTGAATGGTTCAATTAAGAGACAAACAAACAGCCCCTAGTTTCCCTTTAATTTATGAACCTTTTGTTTATTATTTCTATTTGAGTTTTAGTTTCACTTCAACTCTAATTTTTAAAAATGTTTTCCCTTTTCTTAAATAAAAGTTCATATAAAAAATTGAATAAAATTTAACTAAAAATCAAATATTTTCGAGTTACTAAAAATTACCTTTTCAATAATAATTAAACTTCTCTATTAATTTTATGATAAGGGTTTAATTAAATTATTGACATTCCTTTTAAATATAATATTATATTTTTTTAAAGAAGAGATGAGGCTATTGTCATGGGAGAGAGTTCATTTGGGATTTTTTATTTATTAATAGTTCAAATCTAACATTTTCCATATATTCACATGAATTTATTTAACGATTTTTTTAATTTAATCATTGATATTCGATTTATTAATAAATTAATTAGAATCAAATAATATAAAAATATGTTATAGATATAATTCTCCCAATACAATTTATTCCATTCATGATGTATAAGTCGATAAATAGTATTTACAATTTGATATAAAATAATAAAATATCAAATCAATTAACCTATTTTTTTATTTGATGAAGAAATTAAACCGTATTGTTTATTAACTGAAATATCATTGATCTATGGATAGGTTTAAGTAGGTCCATTAGAAGAAATGGAGTTATTATGACCCAACTAGTCAACATATTGGGCTGCCCAATATTTATTTGCAAAATTCAATTAAATTATCCTTAAATATGAGTTTATAATTAATATGAAAATTACGATATCAAAAAGTTTAGAGTTGTTATTTTATTAAATAATTCAGCCCCTACCGTTTAGTCTCTGCTTAAAAACTTGTAATTTTTTTGGGAATAATTTTGCAGTATTTATAATGCTTCAATAGTTACAATTGACTTTTATTGGATGGATTGAAGCATGTTACACTAAGCTAGATTCTCAATTTCCCTTAATGGCAGCTTGATTGGATTCTTTAAGGGAGCTAGAGGTACAAGGCAAGGTGATCCTCTTTCTCCTATTCTCTTTGTTCTCTCTATGAATGTTCTTTCTAAATTATTGAATTTGACTGATGCTAGAGGGTTACATGGCTATCATCCTAAGTGCAAGAAAATTGAATTAACTCATTTGTCTTTTGCTGATGACCTATTGATTTTCTGTAAAGGAAAAGTTGAGTATGTTGTTGGTGTTATTGTTGTTTTGGTCTCTTTCTATGAAATTTTTGGTCTTAAACTAAACGCTGCTAAGTGTGATTTTTTTGCTGCTGGAATATCAGGAAGAAACATTGACACTATTAAGCAAGTTATTGGTTTCAACCAAGGATCCTTACTTGTGAGATACTTAGGAGTCCCTTTAGTATCCAAAAAATTCTTTGAAAAAGATTGAGATATGCTTATTGGGAATATTAAATCAAGACTTCATTTCTGGTCTGGTAAACACCTCAGCTATGCTGGCCGTCTTGAGCTCATCCGAGTTGTTCTGTTCTGTTCAGCATTGCGAATTATTGGTGCAGAATTATTACCAAGATAGAAAATCTCTGTTCCAGATTCTTCTGGAAAGGATCCGACAAGGCTGCTGTTGGTGCGCGTATTAGTTGGATGAAAATCTGCCAATCCAAATCGAAAGGAGGACTAGGCCTGAAAAACATCAAAACTTGGAATAGAGCTTGCATGATTAATCTAATCAGGAAAATTCTGGCTGGTGAGGGATCCATATGGGTTGCTTAGAACAAAGCTTATGTTATTAAGGATTATGATCAATGGCTTATGACAGGAGGTTCTAAACCTCAGTTGGTGCTTAAACGGATTACTCAAACTAAGAAATGAAGCTTTTCCAATTCTTTCAAAGGGAGTTACCAAACCGAGAGATATATGGGAGGAAATTAGAGTGAAAGGCAACAAAGTTCAATGGCACAATCTGGTATGGGTTCCTTTACACATACCTAAGCATAATATGATTACTTGGATGGCTTTATTGGATAGACTCCCCACTTGTGCTCGTCTTCAAAGAATGGGAATTCATATTTATGGGAACTTTGTGAACACTTGTTCTTTGATTGTTGTTTGGCTACTTATTTATGGGAGAACATTATGATTCTAACAGGAGTACAGAAAACCTATCTGTCATGGGAGTATATGGTTGCTCAAGCTTGCGAAAAATGGAAAGGGAAATCTCTTCTCACTACCATTTTTAAGATTACTTGGTGCGCATGTATTTATACATTGTGGGAAGAACGTAATCAAAGAATATTCCAAGGTTGCTCCAGAACTGCTGAAGATATCCTCAAAGTTATCAAATAGATTATTGGAATTCAACTTAGAGGAAGAAACATTAACCGATTAGATAGTGGCAATATTAATCTTTGTAACGCATAGGGTATAGTTTAACCGATCAATCTTTTTGTTGAAGATTTAGATTACACAAGTTCAAAATCCAATGAATATCACGATCTTCACGATATCTCCAAATTAAGGAGGAAAAATTAGAATTCAAGAAGTTGAAAAGACCATAAGAGGTTTTCGCATAAGGAGTGGGCACGCCTTATTCATCCTGAGCTATCGCAGAAGAAGTCTTCAATTAAGGCGTGGGCACACCAACTTTCAGTTTTTATTGGTTTTAGTTTTTTTCGGTTATCGGTTTTTGGATCGTTTTTCGATTATTTTTTGGATCGTATTGGATCTGAACACCATTATTTGGTATTATAGCAGACTCTGCTTCTTTGGGTAATAAAATAATTTATCCAAAAAAAAATAGTTACAACTGAAAATTATGTGTCTTAAATATTAAAAGTTATATATTTTAGTTATTGTTAGGAGAGTTGTAAGTATTGTTAAAAGATATAATTATCCATTTGAATCTCTATATGAATAGTTATATTTATACGTAGAGACATGAGTGCTACTATAATAATACTCAATTTTCATTTTCATAACTCTCGGAAATAACAAAATTACAAGTTAATAGTCGTAAAGAGATAAGGATATATTAGTCAAGAGAAAAGATGGAAGATTTCGGTTGCGGTATCGGTTCGATAACCATAATGTTGTTGGTGGTCGCTCTATTGTTTTTGGCTCCGCTCGGAATGCCGCCATTGCAGCCTCCTCCTGCTTACATTAGTCTCATCTTCGCTTTGGTGTTAGTCGCCATTTTTATCTATCTTTCTCATGCTTCTAAATAGTCGATGTTGATTCGATATGTCTCCGGATGTGTGATGACAATAAACCCTGATTGAAATAATAACCAGAAACAAATAAAATTGTTTTATTTCGAATTGTTTGTTTAATAATACTATGAATTATGTTGAGGAATGTTTGGATGTTTATCTACGGTGGAGTAGGTAAACCATGCATGTGTTACTCAGTGTTGCTTTATTTGAATTTGTGCTTCTTCTATTATACTATTTGGATCGCAATCAATGTTTAAAGAAATAAGTGTTGTTAAGCAAAATAATCAAGAAACCAATAACTTTAACTAATTTGATCGGTTGAATAATCTGAATTAAACTAAAAATTGATAGTTTGATCGATTCAACTAATATTGAATTTTGATCGAGTTAAAAATCGATACTTATTATTAGCCTTTGATTGGATTGACATGTATTGTTTCATATATTATGTTTATATATATATATATTAAAGGGTGTTTAGTAGATACTTTTTATATTTTTTAAACGTTTAAAGGTGTATAAAGCCCTTAAATTTTTGAAAATATGAATTAAAGTTATTAATATTTTGTATTAAATTAAATACTCAATCGAGAAATTAAATCAATTAAGTAATTGAATAGATATCACATAGAAAAATTTTACAACACTCGTAGAGCATGGATGAACACCGTTAACGATGAGTACCATTAAATTAATTTATAAAACATTAAATTATAAAGTATTAAACATATAATTATAAATTAGTTAAAACTCTAAATGTAATTTAATTAAAATACAATATTTATAAACACGATTAACCACCAAACTATTTAACCATTTTACTTTAACCATCGATTTTTCAATTTTGTCAATCAAGTTACCTAACTATTTAAATCTTG